CCCTCAGCTCTTCAGCTCAAGGCTAGCGCTCTACCACTTGAGCCACAGCGCCACTTGGAGGAGTGGTTTGACTGGTAGAGTGTCAGCTTTGAGTGAAAAAGCTAAGAGAGAACATAAGGTCATGAGTTCAAGCCCCAATACTGGCACAAAAAAAGAAAAAAAAGTAAAATACATACTGTTCGTTTTATCTACAGAACAAACTGAAAAATTAAGAGGACTTCTGTTTTAATTTCTACTATGTGTAAAATTCGTCGATATAAATCGTACAGTGGTTATTATGAATTTTCTGTCAACTATTTTATATGCTTTTGGGGGGCTGAGGCCAGGACTCCAACTCAGTATTTGACACTTTCACTCATTGGCTTGGCGCACTACCACCTGAACCACACATCCAATTCCTCTAAATTTTCTGTATAACTATTTTTATCAGTATTAAGATATTCTGGGGCTGGGAAGGTGGCTTAGTGCTAGAGTGCTTGCCTTGTACACATGAGGCCCTGGGTTCCATTCCTCAACATCATATAAGCAGAAAAAGCTGGAAGTGGCACCATGGCTCAAGTGGTAGAGTGCTACCCTTGAGATGAAGAGCTCAGGGACACAGCTCAGGACCAGAGTTCAGGCCCCACAAACAACAGGCATTGGTGGCTCAAATCTATAATCCTAGCTGAGGAGGCTGAGATCTGAGGATCGTGGTTCAAAGCTAGCCCAAGCAAGGAAGTCCATGGGACTCTACCAGAAGTGGAGCTGTGGCTCAAAGTTGTAGAGCATTCGCCTTGACCAAAAACAAACAAACAAACAAAAAAACTCAAGGGACAGCCAGGCGCTGGTGGCTCATACCTGTAATCCTAGCTACTAGGGAGGCTAAGATCTGAGGATCACAGTTCACAGCCAGCCTGGGCAGGAAAGTCTGTGAGACTCTTATCTCCATTAGGGCACTAGAAAACTAGAAGTGGCACAGTAGCTCAAGTGGTAGAACGCTAGCCTTGAGCTGAAGAGCTGAGGGACAGCGCCCAGGCCCAGAGTTCAAGCCCCATGATGACAAAACAAACAAACCAACAAAAAAAGGTCAGGGACAACGCCCAGTTTGAGTTCAAGCAATAGAAAAAGATAAGCTGATCCTCACAAAATCCTCACAAAATTTGTATTTGTATTATAATGCTAGCTATAGAAAGATATAAATATGAGAGAGTATAAATGGAGTTGATCCGTTTGTTTGCTTTTGGGGTATGGTGCTGAGGACTGAACCTAGAACCTTGCCATGACAACAAAGTACTCCAGCAATGAGCCCAACCTGTAAAACTTTAAAACAAAAGAAAGGACACAGTACACCACTCCTTTTATAGAAAACTCAACTATAAGAAAAAATAAGCCGGGCGCCCGGTGGCTCACTCCTGTAATCCTAGCTACTTCAGGAGACTTAGAGTTGAGGATCTCGGTTCAAAGCCAGCAAGGCAGGAAAGTCTATGAGACTCTTATCTCCAATAAACCACCAGAAAACTGGAAGTGGTGCTGTGGCTCAAGTGGTAGAGTGCTAGCCTTGAGCTGAAAAGCTCAGGGACAGAGCCTAGGTCCAGAGTTCAAGCACCATGACCAACTCCCCCGCATCCCCCCCCCCCCCCAAAAAAAAGAAGAGGGGCTGGGAAGGTGGCTTAGTGGTAGAGAGCTTGCCTTGCATGCGTGAGGTTCTGGGTTCGATTCCTCAGCACCACATAAGCAGAAAAAAGCCGGAAGCGGCGCTGTGGCTCAAGTGGTAGAGCGCTAGCCTTGATCTGAAGAGCTGAGGGACAGTGCCCAGGCCCAGAATTCAAGCCCCACGACTGACCAAAAAAAAAAAAAAAGAAGAAGAAGAAAAAGTAACTTTAGGGGACAGAAATGGGAATGACAACTTTGAAGGAAGTCACAGGGTACCAGACATTCAGGGGTATCCAGAGTATCTGATTTGGTGGGTGGTAATTTACCTTGGGAAGATCTATTAGACTGTATATTTATGATAAATGTACTTGTATATGCCATACTTCATTAATAGTTTTGACTTAAAAACAAACTCAGGCAGGCCAGGTACCAGTTCCTGCCTGTAATTCTAGCTACTTAGTAGACTGAGATCTGAGGATTGTGGTTCAAAGTCAGCCCATGGTATTTTTTTTTTTTTTTTTTTTTTGGGTCCGGTCGTGGGGCCTGAACTCTGGGTCTGGGTGCTGTCCCTCAGCTCTTCAGCTCAAGGCTAGCGCTCTACCACTTGAGCCACAGCGCCACTTCCGGCTTTTTTTCTTTTTGCTTATGTGGTGCTGAGGAATCGAACCCAGGGCCTCAGGCTTGCAAGGCAAGCGCTCTACCACTGAGCCACCTTCCCAGCCCCCATGGTATTTTTTTAGGTCAGTTGTGTATCTGTGACTCAAGTGGTAAAACACCAGACTTGAGCAAACAGCTAAGGCACAACTTGAACTCAGAACCTGAACTCACACCTTTTTTGTCTCAAAAAAAAAAAAGGATATGGATGTTACAGGTCTTGATAGACCATGTGAGGTTCTGGGTTAGATCTCTAGCATAAAACAAAACAACAACAACAAGAACTAGTTCAAGCCCTAGAACCAACACAAAAAATATAAAATAAATAAATAATGTTATTATCGTTTTCTTTTATTTTTTTTGTCAGTCCTGGGCCTGAACTCTGGGCCTGGGCTCTGTCCCTCAGATCTTCAGCTCAAGGCTAGCGCTCCACCACTTGGGCCACAGTGCCACTTCTGGCTTTTTCTGCTTATGTGTTACTGAGGAGTGGAGCCCAGGGCCTCATGCATGCAAGGCAAGCACTCTACCACTGAGCCACCTTCCCAGCCCTAAATGTATTATAGTTTGTTTAAATCAAGAATTTTGTTTGACTGGGCATCAGTGGCTCACGTCTATAATTCTAGCTACTCAGGAGGCTAAGATGTGAGGATCTCGGTTCAAAGCCAACAAATGCAGGAAAGTCCTTGAGACTCTTATCTCCAATTAACCACCAGAAAACCGGAAGCCGTGCTGTGGCTCAACTGGTAAAGCTCTAGTCTTGAGTTGAAGAGCTGAGGGACAGTGCCCAGGCCCAGAGTTCAAGCCCCACAACCGACCAAAAAAATTTTTTTTTGTTTGTTTGAATCCATACAAATAGCATTTGGCTTATATGCTTATTAAATTACATGCAGTCCTTAGGTTTCCCTTTCCTTTTAAAGATATTAACAATTTGTTTTTTTTTGTTTTTTTTTTTGGGTCCCGTCGTGGGGCCTGAACTCTGGGCCTGGGCGCTGTCCCTCAGCTCTTCAGTTCAAGGCTAGCGCTCTACCACTTGAGCCACAGCGCCACTTCCGGGTTTTTTCTTTTTGCTTATGTGGTGCTGAGGAATCGAACCCAGAGCCTCATGCATGCAAGGCAAGCTCTCTACCACTGAGCCACCTTCCCAGCCCAATCTTTCATTGTTTTTCCTATAAACTAGTTAAGATATAGAACCTTTAGCGAGTTCCCAGAGTTCTTTCTTTTCTTTGTGGTACTGGGGATTAAACTCAAGGCTTTGTGCATACTAAGCAACACTTCACCACTTGAACCACAACCTCATCATTTATATTTGTTTGAGGCTGACCTCAAACCATGCATGCATCTGCCTCTGCCCCTTGAGTAGCTGGGATTACAAATGTACACTGCCACACCCAGCCAGAATGCTCATTTCTGTGTTAGTTGAATTGTCCCAGAAGGCTGGTTCCACAGATAAGTAGTAGACAGAGCTGGAAAGGAGCCCATCTGTTTGGTAGGCCACATAGGTGACACCTGATTTTGGTTGCTTTTTGTGTTTTGTTTTGTTTTTGTGCTGATACTGGGACTTGAACTCAGGATCTGCTTACAGTCTCAGAGCTTTTTGCTCAAGGCTAGCACTCTACCACTTAGCCACAGCTCCACTTCTGGCTTTCTTGGTACTTGATTGGAAATAAAAGTGTCACGGGAAGCTGGGCACTGGTGGCTCACGCCTATAATCTTAGCTACTCAGGAAGCTGAGATCTGAGGATCATGGTTCAAAGCCAGCCTGAGCAGGAAACTGTGAGACTCTTATCTCCAACCAAACACCAGAAAACCAGAAGTGGCGTTGTGGCTTTAGGTCGTAGAACACTAGCCTTGAGTAAAAGAGCTCAAGGACAGCACCAGGCCTGAGTTCAAACCCTACAACTGCACAAAGCTTCAGAGAACCTGCTGAGAAAGAAGCCATGTGTCCTCTGGTAGATTCATGACTATGGGGCACAAAACAATAACAAACAACAGAGACTGAAAAGAAGATAAAGGTCCAAATCCTGAAGATGTCTTCTAGGCAGTGGGAATGCCTTTTCTATGGCAACGTAGTAGCACCTGACTGTGGACTCAGACAACCTGGGTTCAAGCGCTGTCTCCAGCACCCACAGCTGTGTGACCCAGACAAGTTACTTAACTTCCCTGTACTTCCTTTTCCTTTTTTTTAGATCTGAAACTTGGACTGGAACTAAGTACCTGACAATTTCACTCACTGGCTGGCACTCTACCAGCTGAGTCATGCCTCCAACTCCAGTACTTCATTTTCCTTACTTCACAGCAAGTATAATAGTACTAATCTTATAAGGTGCTAAAGCCTGGCACAAAACAAGTGCTAAGGAAATGTGAGCACTTGAAATAATGGTAGTAACGGCATTAGTTAGTACTGCCTGAGCTTTCCAATAGTCTTCACAATGTGCAGGTGACAGAGTAAAAACTTGGCATGGAGCAACTGCAGAACGGGATTTCTCCCTTGGACCAGATGGCCATCTGCTGAGCACCAAGCAACAGCAAGGCTCGTGTGACTACTGTGCTAACTTCTGGCCTTGGGGGACAATGCTGAAGGGTCACCTATCTGCAGCCCACCAGGGCTTCCCCTTGGAAAAGGGACTCACTGGGACAATGAACCAGTCTGTTCCTCCATGGGGAGCAGACTCTATGGATGGACAGGTGGGCCCTCTCAAAGGCCTGTCACCAACCTGTGCTGGATACGGTTTCAGAGGACTGAAAGACGGCAGTGGAGGAGGATGGCGGGGAGGCCGTGGAAGAGCTGGCGGACTCCTTCCCCTCTAGCTCAGCCACAGGCAGCAGCAGGTTCTGGGCCAGGTGGGTGGGGCTGGCGGGGATGCCATTCTCCAGCAGGAACTCGTCCAGGTCCATGTACTCCAGGTGGAAAGACTCGCCATCGTAGGGGATAGTCTTGTCCCAGATGGGTGGCATGAGGGAGGCCGAGACAGCCATGGTGCTGGCTGCAGCCGCCTCGTCCTCTTCCAGCTTTTCCTTCCCCTTTTCCTTATCTGCAAACAAAATCTCGCGTGAGACACCACACAAGAGCAGACTCTATCCCAGAGGTGGGCAGTGAGCCTTGGGGTAGACCCAGCTTTCTCGGAGGCCTGATTCTATGCCCGTCTCATGTACTCTGGGCTCTGGTTATTGCTGTTTGAGCAGGCTGGCCGGCAGGCCCTTCCATACTTGGTATTTCTGGAATGCTAGACACAGATACCACCCTGATAGGGTCCCAGAGTTGCTGTAGAATAGGTTGTAGGTTTGCACCTGGCAGAGAGAGGCTGCTTTTCCTGAAACCTTAGTGTAGAAGGGACTGAGGTTCTCAGGCCAAGACCTCTTGTGTTTTCACTCTTAGCCCTTTAGTTATATTTCTCCATAGCAACCCAGAGATGCCACCACTAGTCCAATCTCCGTGCAGCCACCCATTAGTTGGTCATGTGTGACCTTGGCCATGTTACTTAAAACTGAACTTCCATTGTAAATAATGATAAAACCATCTCTTTTGTGAAGATCACAGACACCATTTGAAAGTGGCCTGGCACACAGGAGGAAGGAAGCACACTGAGGTCAAGTTCTGTGTCTGATTCATTTCTAAATTGCAGGGGCCAACAAAGAGGTGGGAAGATAATAAATGTATGAGTGGAGCACACTGGATTTGCAAACGGTTTCACTTTAGTGGATTGAGAAGACCTGGAGCTAGGTCCCTTGTCAGAGCCATCATTTCAGAAAACCAAATCCCTGAAGAGCAGAAAGAAGTGAAGATAGGTTTTTGAGAAGGAAGGAGAGGTGGAGCTGAAGAATGCTCCTATTCCAAGAAAAGTCTTGATTAGTTATCATTTAGAAGGACCAGTTCCCACCTTATTGTCTCAGTTGGCACCTATAATTTTAGCTGCTCAGGAAGCTGAGATTTGATGATCTCCATTCAGTACCAGCCCAGGCTGACAATTCCCAAACCCCAAATCCCAAGCCCAGTACCAGTGCACACCGTGTGCACATAAGCCTGTGTGTGTGTGCACATGCGTGCATGCGTGCGCACATACACACACAGTTATGTACATGGATAGCCAAGAGAGGGCGATTAAGAAAGAAAAGACAGGGCTGGGAAGGTGGCTCAGTGGTAGAGCGCTTGCCTTGCATGCATGAGGCCCGGGGTTTGATTCCTCAGCACCACATAAGCAGAATAAAGCTGGAAGTGGCGCTGTGGCTCAAGTGGTAGAGCGCTAGCCTGAAGCTGAAGAGCTGGGAGACAGCGCCCAGGCCCAGAGCTCAGGCCCCACGACCGACAAAAAAAAAAAGAGAAAGAAAGAAAAGACAACTGAGAGATGTGACCCTATGGGAAGGGTGTAGTGACAGGGAGCTAGTTAGAGGAGTGGCAGGGAAGCATCATGACAAGTTCACAACGAGTTTTCAGAACTGAAGAAGACAACTTTGAACTCTGAATTTAAAAGAGGTGAAACCGGCCGGGTGCTGGTGGCCCACGCTTATAATTCTAGCTACTCAGGACACTGAGATCTGAAGATCATGGTTCAAAACAAGCCCTGGCAGGATTTTTTTTTCTGTCGGTCATGGGGCTTGAACTCTGGGCCTGAGTGCTCTGTCTCAGCTCTTTAGCTCAAGGCTAGCGCTCTACCACTTCAGCCACAGTACCACTTCTGGTTTTCTGGTGGTTTTATTGGAGATTAGTTTCATGGCCCCAGGCGCCGGTGGCTCACACCTGTAATCCTAGCTACTCAGGAGGCTGAGATCTGAGAATGGAAAAGTTTCTTGGCTTTTTTGCCCAGTCTGGCTCTGAACCGAGATCCTCAGATCTCAGCCTTCTGAGTAGCTAGGATTACACTCAGAACACGAGGACTAGTGGTGCCGGTGTGACACTAAAAAGAGCACCCAATTGAGAGCCATAAGGCTGACATGTATGACCTTGTAAAAGTTCTCTGACGGTTAAGTTTCCTCATCTAGGGAGTGGGGATAATACCCTAAAGGGCTGTTGTGGAAGTCTAAATAAGATTATGTCAGGACTGGGAAGGTGGCTCAGTGGTAGAGCGCATGCCTTGCATGCCAGAGGCTCTGGGTTCGATTCTTCAGCACCACATAAGCAAAAAGAAAAAAGCCAGAAGTGGCACTGTGGCTCAAGTGGTACAGCGCTAGCCTTGAGCTGAAGAGCTAGGGACAGTGCCCAGGCCCAGAGTTCAGGCCCCACGACCGGACCCCCCAAAATAAATAAATAAATAAGATTATGACGAAATACTTTGTGACACTCTGCAAATTTAAGGCAAAATGACTGTTATGGATACTAGTTGCTGGTAATCTTAAACAAGTTCCTGCCAAATATGAACACCTGCAACTGTCTTCGCCTCAGATTTGGGACAAAGCTTTCCAGAAGCAGGAGAGCTTGGCCTCACCTTATTGTGAAACTATTTATAATCTCACAAGCGACAACCAATGGGAGCCTCAGAATAGACCAGGAAAAGAAGCAAGATGGCAATTTAGAAAAAAATTAATTCCCCAGGACAGACAATTCATTGGCCTATCCCTTCCCAAGTCCTTGGGTTATAGGACAGTTCCTGCAATTCCCAGGTCTCAGAACGGAAGTACACCTACCTCAGTGTACCTAAAACTCCACAATAGGTGGCATTCCTGCTGCTGCCTGAACCTCATCTCCTCTGTCAAAACAGCAAGGCCAAAGCTGCTTTCCACATAGGCCCTGGGGGACCCTTTGGCCTGGGCTACAAGATGAAGTTCAATCCTGTCACTGTGGCCCCCAATCAACCAGGCCAGGGGCTTCAGGGGTCTCCTTCCTGCCTTCATCCTACCCTGACCTGGCCCAAACCTTGTCCCCAAAAGGCACCCCCATCGCTGGCCCCACATGCTTCCCACCAGATGCATCTCAAACACCAGCCCAGAAACAGCTTTCCAAAAAAAGCTCCAGTACGGACCTAGCAGCTGGATCCCCAGCATCCAGAGAGCAAGAATGCAACTCCCCTAGGAGAGGACAAGGCCACATCCCCAGACGATCTGCTACCCAAGACCAGAGCGTTTCAAACTTTGGTGGACTTCGAAACCAAGGGGGATGAAGGCGAGGTGCTCATTACAAAGGCACAGTCCAGGGTCAGAATCTGCAGACAGGGTGGGGCCCAGGCCCGGAACGGGTGATTGGGATGCCAGCAGCCCCAGGGGAGGCGCCCTGGAGCGCCGGGTAAGTGGCTGCTCCAATCCCCCCCTCACCCTCCTCCCGACCCCCCCCACGAACACCTCACGCCATAGCTCCGTCCCCTCCCGCCTGACCCTTCCCTGCGAAGCCCCCCCAGACCCACCCTCTCCAGCTCACCCCCCGCTCCCCACCTCTCCCCAGTCTGGACGGCGTCTCGTCACCCCGGGCCCCAACCCTCAGGGCTGGACCACTCCACCCAGACCTCTGCCCTGCCCCGCCCTCCGGGCCCCGCCCCTGCGGAGGCCCCGCCCCCGGGCGCGCGCGGACAGCCGCCCCACCCCCACCCCCGCCTCACCCAGGCGCGCCTCGCGCGGGGGGTTCTCCATCAGCTTCTTCAGGACCAGAGGGAAGGACCCTGGCAGGCCCCGATCCCCAGCTGAGCGCCCCGGACCCGGTCCTGCCTGCGGCTCCACAGGCGGCTTCTTCCCGCCGCCCGCGTCGGACATCGTGCCCCGTGCCCTGCTCGCCCGCCTCGCCTCCCCCGCCCGCCCCCCGAGATGGGCCGGAGCCGAGCGACCTGCCGCAGCTGCCGACAGGAGCGGCACTGCGCAAGTGCGCCGCCGCACCCCCGCCTCCCTTCCTTCGCGCCCCGCCCGCCGGCTGACTCTGGGGCGTTCATTATTCATGAGGCCCGGCTGGCGGCCCCAGAGCGTGGCTCCTAATTGGTCTATCCTGTGGGAGGCGGGCACAGTTTCGCGAGGCGGGATTGGCCAGGCAGCCGGGAGAGCAAGACACGTGCGGAGCCAGGTGAGGAGCGCAGCCCCGCCCGCCCCAGACTCGTGATTGGCGCGGGCTAAGTATCTGTGCCGTGGGCCTTCCTCGGCAGCAGCCGCTTCCTGCGCGGCCAATCACATCCCTCTCGCTTCTCTTTTCCTAACCCTCGCCCTTCTCCCAGACCACCGCGGCCTCCTTTCCGTTTGGTCTCACTCTCAGCCCTCCAGGACGCGCCACTAGAGGGAGGCGGAGCTGGGAGCGGCGGCCGGCCCCGCGGGTCACGTGGAGCTGCAGCCGAGTCTAGCTGCGGGGGGGGGGGAGAGGGGGGGGAGGCGCGGGCGGGGCAGCCAATGGGGGGGCGGGGGCGTGGCCAGCGTCCTGCACGAGGCTTCGCACGTGCGCCCGTCAGGGGAGGGGCGGGAGGAGCGGGCCGGGGCCTGGCCTGGCCCGGCCGGGCCTTTTTGTTCCGAGGACTCTGCCCTAGGTCGTGGGATGGGGACACCAGGCCCGGCCTGCTCTCCTCCCACGCGCCCCAGGGGCTGGCCGAGGGCAGGCGGCCAGCCGGGCCGGGTCGCGGCGAGGGCGGACGCGGGCTTGGCCGCCTCGGGAGCCGGTGTCAGGTTGCCCACTGATCCCGGGCTCTGGAGAGGGCGTGGCTGCCGAATAAACACTGGCGTGGAGGAGGCGTGGAGGGGCCCCGGGTCCACCCTTCCGTCCCCCCCTCGATCCTCACTTCCGTCTCCCCCTGCCCCCACTAGCTAGTGACCTTGGGAAAGTCCAGGTCCTCCGCTTGAGTTTGTTCTTTTCAGCCATAAAAATGAAGAGGTTGGGCTAGGGAAATCTACGGCCAGCCCCAAACAACTCGGAAGTCTCTCCCTTTCCTAGAATAATACATACATTTGTAAATCTCCTTTATAAAAGGGCCCCATCTCACCTATTTCCCCCCCCCCCCAGGGTCGAGGTCCCACTGGTCTTGAACTCGAGGCCTGGGCATGTCCCTGAGGTTTTTCTGCTCAAGGCTGGCACTCTACAACTCCACTCCTGCTTTCTGGTTAATGAGAGATAAGAGTTCCTATCTCAGGATTCAACTGGGGTGACAGCCATGGAGTCATCAGAGCCAGCTCCAATCTCACGTTTTATGTGAGAACCAGCCATTCTCTTAAAACGTAAGTACTCCCTGTTTGTTCCTTAGGTTTTAACATGTGAAGCTATGCATAAATGGAAGTTGCCCTCAGTGCTCAGAAGTTTGTACCTGGAGGTTAGAGGCGTGGCTCAGGTGGTAGAGTGCCAGCCAATGAATAAAAGCATCAAATAACTGAGTTCCAGTCCTGATCTTGGACAAAAAACAAGTTTGTACCTCTTAAAATACCAACCATACTCTGCCTCTAACCCTAGCTATACTCAGCTTTCTTGGTTTTAATCCTAAAAGATGAAACCAGAATTTTACAATTCGTTGAGGACAAGAAATTTGAAGGACTCTGGATGGTGAAAGGGACAAGATAATTGGAGTGTGACTCCAAAATTGAAGCTCTCCCTGCTGCAGTAAACTTTGGTCTTTCTCTGAATGTGGTAAGTGCAGGCTCCTCTTGCTTATAAATCAGATGGAGAGAGGGCAGGATCTGCCTTACAACATTTCCATGAACCAGTGCGTACAAATGCACAATTGCAAGCCTGCTGTGAACAGTACGTTTCCCAATTTTACTAAAACTGTTGGGTACAAATCCACCTTGGCAAGAGCAAATCTGTGTGTACAGAAACACAGATTGTAGGGGCTGGGAAGGTGGCTCAGTGGTAGAGCGCTTGCCTTGCATGCCTGAGGCCCTGGGTTCGATTCCTTAGCACCACAGAAGCAAAAAGAAAAAAGCCAGAAGTGGCGCTGTGGCTCAAGTGGTAGAGCGCTAGCCTTGAGCTGAAGAGCTGAGGGACAGCGCCCAGATCCAGATTTCAGGCCCCATGACCGGACCCAAAAAAAAAAGAAAACACAGATTGCAAAATTGTTGGTAAGAATTTTATACATGGTTAAGTGAAGGTACCTTTAGGAGAAACTCAATTAGATCTTTCTAGCAACAAATTGCAGAGGACATTCCAAAGAAATGGACCTCAGCAACAAATAAGCTTGTAAAAAAAAAAAGTCTAATGTGGCCATGGTGGGGCTTTCTGGGCTCATGTTAAATGCACATTTTCATGGCTAATATGATACTCTTGAGAGGAAGATCAATGATAACATGAGCATAGCAAGGTACTTGTTTTGTTTTTTTTAAGCAAGGTACTTGTTTCTATGAAGATGCAGAGTCTCTGTTTTAGCTGTAGTTACTCAAAATCACTATTCCACCATCAACCTGAGCAGATCACTGAAGGAGCAAGTGACACGGGGGAGATGTGAAGTTGGCAGTTGAGGGCTTGAAACCGAACATGTACTGACACTTTCCTGAGAGGGGATTTTCCCCTGCATCACCCAAGGGTGACTGGTATGTGGAGACATTACAAACGTGTTCCCTCTTGTGCCTCACAGCTATGGAGAGAGCTACACCCAGTAGTTCTTACAGTTGGGGCCATGATTCTCTTCCTCCTCCAGCTGACCCCAGAAGAATCTCCAGGGTCTTCCCTCTACCTTTGCTTTCGTTAGTAATGTGAGAGTACCTCTGTGACTCCTCTCTTAGGAGAGGAATAAGTATGAGAAATAATTAGCTAAATTGTGTGTGTGTTTGTGTGTGTGTGTGTGTGTGTGTGTCCTTGTCCTGGGGCTTGAACTCAGGGCCTAGGTGCTGTCCCTAAGCATTTTTGTTCAAGGCTAATGCTCCACCACCTGAACCACAGTTCTACTCCTGGCTCATTGGTGGTTAATTAGAAATAAGAGTCTCATAGTCTTTCCTGCCCCAATTGGCTTCAGATTGCAATCCTCAGATCTAAGGCCACCCACTAGCTAGGGTTGCAGGTGTGAGCACCCCCGGTGCCTGGCTAATTAGCTAATTTCTATAGTATATGAGCCCCACAGAGAAATGCCATAAGAAGAATGTATTGCTTGGTTAAGACCTTAAAGATACAAAATGGCGCCAGCATATTCTGTAGGGATGGGTCTATACATAGTGGCTTTCTCAAGGAAGTATGGGTCCTGGGGCAGTAGAGACTTGGGATGAAAGTCTGGGAGTATCTCCTTTCACTGCTAACCAGCCCTTGCAGCCTTGGGTGATTGACATCCAAGCCTCAGTTATTTTCCTCTTTAAAACACAGGTGAAGATATCTACTCGCTGGGTGGCAGTGATTGTCTGTGATAAACAGCATCAGGTGCCAGCCTAGAGCAGTGCTACACAGGATGAAGTAGGTAGGCATCCTACTGCTACAGTTTGGTTATGATAGTGAATCAGGACTTTGATTATTTTGAGGGTGAGGGTAAGGTTGTGAACCCAAGGTTGGGTTATAGAATCTTAAGTTAAAGCCAGAATGGGATGAGCAATTTCCAGTTTGCACAACTGGACTGACTTTAAGTTCCTGAGATCTGCTAACTAAAACCTTGATTAAATTGACCCTATGCAGATTTTCACTAGCATGGGAGTCACTGATCAGATAACCCATAATGATATCTTCGGCTCTATAGTCAGCCTCTAATGGCTCAGAGCGTGAGACTTGAGCCTGGGATGTTTAAAAGCAAGATGACATTAAGGTTGCCATTGAGTTCTGACAAAGCCCAGACATCTGTGAACTTTTTAGTACCAAGGATAGGCAGGCACAATGCCTGGCTCAGAGTAGTAACTCAGTAAATATTTGCTGGCTTTGGTTGGTGCTGCTAGAAGGGTTAAGAAAACCTCTCAGAGCCAACTCCCATACATCTGGAGCATTATTAACACTAAATAACAGTCGCTGTGTTTGACTCAGAGTGGAATCTGGAATAACAAGCATGACCCGTGCTTACGGCAAGTTCCCTGGCACCGGCCTTGCCAGCAGCTCTCCTTTCTAGCCTGCATACCTGTGGCTGCCGAGTCTGGGCTCTGTGGTTTGTACCTTGGTGTCAGTTTGTTCCAAGGGAAAAGTGGTGGGTGGAGGCCCTTTTTAAATTCTTGCCCATCTCTTTAGCACGCTCTAGAGTACCAGTTTCCTGTTTGGCTTGCAATCTCATGCACTCTCAGGGTTTGGATTACAAATGAGCTGGCCCAAGAGTGCCATTTCCAGATGCGTCCACCTCTTCAAGCCAGTGCAGGATCTGTACAGCTACCTCCCGCTAGCGCTGCTGGTGATGCACTAGTAGGGTTCAGGCTAGGCTCAGAGCCTAGCCGCCAGCACCAGATTCCTGCTTCCAGGCTTCCTAAATTTGCTGTGTGTATCGAAAGTCAAGTCAGTTTGGGCACAGTGCTGAGGACAGTGCCTGGTGCACAGCAAGAGCTCAGTTATTAAAGTGAGCTTTTGCTGGGAAGGTGGCTCAGTGGTAAAGTGAACTTTTACTACAATTCTCTCTCGAGGTTGTTCTTGGAACATCTCATTCTTCCCAAGGTTAGTCAATAGGGACAGGGATGTCTCAGCCTAATCTTCAAGCCCTGTGGGCTCTCACCCATTGAGCTCTTAACCCTACCTTCTCCCCCTTAGTTTTCATGGCCATTTATTTGTCTACTTATTTATTTACTCTGTGTGTGCGCGCACGCGCGCATGTGTGTGTGTATGTGCATGTGCTGCTGGTATTAGCACTTTGAATTTAAGACTTCACTCTTTTTTTTTTTGGGTCCGGTCGTGGGGCCTGAACTCTGGGCCTGGGCACTGTTCCTCAGCTCTTCAGCTCAAGGCTAGTGCTCTACCACTTGAGCCA